AGCCAGTTCTTACCCCAGGCAACCTTGACAAAAGTGCTTGGAGACAACCTCTGATAGTCAGACCATACAGACAAAAAGACACAACTCCCTATTGTTTCATGTTATCTAAACCAGTTAACAGTGTACTGTAAGCAACTGAATAATTATGAGCAAGAGCCCCCTTACTTTGCATGCTACAGGAAGTATGGAAGGTAATAATGGCAAGCCACCAACTGCCTCCCTCCTTTTCTTTCTATAGGTGTGAGATATAAATTAATATTTAACAGTGCTGAAAATGTAAGTCTTTTATTTCTCAGGATCACGACAAAAACCATGATTCAGACATGCATGAACGGCGGAACTCTTTTGATGATCACAGACATGCATTCCCATCACCGTCGTCTTTGTCATCATCACCAACAAATAATCAGAGGGTGAGATATAAAAGTTTGTTTTATAACCTTGGAGAGACACAAAATTAGATTTAAGAAGTTATCTTACATGTAACCTCTAGTTGAGTTAACAAACATCTCTGTTTGCATGCTTAATATTTCTACCACTCCATAGGCATATCTGAGATTTCTACACTGATAGTTAACATTGAGTTCTACAAATTTACATGTACAAATTTGAAATCACAAATTTACATGTACTATACATCCATTTTTCTCTGATAGGGTGTTCTGTTTGATTTATTTTTATATTTAGTTAACTAGTAGTAATCAAAGATTATGAGAGTGCTTTTGACACTGTCACTTTAATATATATACCTTAAATAAATGGTTTTACTAGCTGACATTCAACCTCTGTCTATTGCTAAAATCAACGTTTTTCATAGACAACCGAAGTTTTACAGACAGATATATCATCGTGTCAAAGTCCATGCCAGTATAAGAGGTCCCTGTACTAACTATGATTTGTTGATTNTATTTCAACTCTCTTCTCGGTGTTTGGAAATGTGGTCAAACACTGTCTTTCGTGTTTGATATATTACGTTAAACACAAAAGCCCATGGATGTTTGACCACATTTTCTTAACATCGAGAAGAGACTTGAAAACATAACGGGCAGCAGAGTATTTTTGACGAACGTCAAGGTGTTTGGAAGTGTAGTTAAACACTGTCTTGAGTGTTTGATACATTTTCTTGATTGAAAATAAAACTACATGTAAGGAGAAAATGGAGTTCTAAATAAAATCTGAAAATCTAATATGCTAATGAAGATCAGATATCCAAACACCATCACGGTCATGATTTTCTTTGTTTAAATGTAACAAATTATTAAATGAGTTTGAGAAGTAAAGTGGGGCAATTTTTGAGTAAAGAATACTCTGCTTCAACTTTTCAGGTCCATCAGAAGGTTTTGAGCCAGGTGTCAGTCCATCAAAGCGTCTCTGTGATGTTTCACCCCTAAACTGTTCATCTGACATTCCATGCGAATCAGTTCACCTTAATTTTGATGATGACAATCACTTACATGAAGATCCTCATAGCTCCTCAGCATCTGATTCATCTTCATCATCATCATTATCTGCCACTCCCATGCTCCTTGGCGAAATACAAAGACATCCTTTGCCTATTTATCGATCAAAATTTACCCCACCAAGGTCACCTCTGGCTGGTCCATCCACAACACAAAGTCATCCCAGGAGTATAGGAACCTCCGCATCATGTTTCACATTTGCTCCTGTCAAAGATTGATGAGTGCTCATACCGAAAGGTATATATCAAATGTTATTTATTTTACTAGAAGTGTTGGTTAGTGCAGATCGAGCAGACCAGGTTCAAGCCTTGGCTGGAGACATTGTGTTGTGTTCTTGGCCAGGACACTTTACTTTCACAGTGCCTCTCTACACCCAAGGGTATAAAAGGTTACCGACACATTTACCGCTGGACATAGATAATTCTGCTGTGGACTAGTACCCACTTCATCCTGGGAAGTGGAAAATACTCTTAGGCACTTCATATATCTAGTATGTTTTTCATTTTAATGTATAAGGAACAATTTTTAGTTTTCAGCTATATAACTAATATTAATTAATAGCCACTCAGCTGTGTTCTATTCTGATTCTCTCATCATTTTCCATTGGCTGATAGACAACAATCATGTGTGCACTGCTCTTGAAACTGAGGATTATTCTTAAGTTTGGATGTTAAAATACACATAATTGTAGGCTTTTTGTGTTACGAAAGCAATTAGACTACTTGCCCTTGTTTTCTATGAGCAATAGTCAACTCGACTACATCTTGTTGACTATTCTTTCATAACATACTCAGGCCCGTAATCTTATTGTTGAAAGTAGTGGAAAACGCATTTCATCATGCAAATGACTCTTGTGCTTTTATTAACTTCAAATTAATAACATGCATTATACAGATTTCCAGGAAATCAGCATACTTAACTTGTAATTTTATTACCTTTACAGGTTTATTTTTCTATTTCAGACAATTTACAGACAGTATTTTAGAACTTTATACCAGACAAAATGATATAATCATTTTGATAATGGCATTAGATATATATTAGGGAGATTTGCCATGTTGTACATATACATAAAGTTACTGAGCCATTTAGGTAGTAACACCTAGTTCTGTATTGCTTTCATACTTATAGTGAACTTAGAAAAGGAAAAAAAAAACAAATCAACCATGAATGGAATTACATTTGAATTAGTTTTTTCTCTCAGTCTTATTTGCACCACTAGTTAACCAAAACTTAACAACTTGCTGTAATTAGTTTTTAGTTTTTGTTGCATTGAATATGAAAAGCAAACATTTAAGGTCAATATGCTACTGAGGACCTAAAAATGTTTTGAGCGGACATCTGATCTTTTAAAACTAAACAAAATTATTAAGCAAACAAGCAAACACTCTTTAGAACAGAAAGTGTCCTCATAGGAGAGATGGTCACCTCTGGAAGATAAAATGTTTGTCTCAATGTGGCCACGATGATAACTTACAATTTAGTGTTCCCAAGTTGAGAGATGTCTGCCTGTAAGTGTATATGGTTGTCGGATCATTGATTTCATGTGATATTCATTTGTATTGATGTCATTTCTTTTTTCTGTGACCATTACTACCCTCTATATGTTGGTTCCATTCTGTGGTACTCTACAAGTGGCATATTTCATGTTTCCAGTTACTTTGCCACTTTGCTCTCTCCCAAAAACTTCCCCTTCTCAGCAAGCGCAGGGGTTATAAGGCGAGCAATAACAAAATTTTGCAACTCTGATGAAGGTGGACAGAGGCCACCGAAAATTCAGTAAAGAAAGATCATAGATTGGATTATGAAGAAGTGTATTATAAGAGAAGGCCCTGCTATCAGTACATTAAACTAAAGTTATTAACTTTAGTTTGGTTACAAAACTTTCACTAAGTGCAAAGAACATTAAGTTAACATACTGTAGGAGACTTGAGTTTTTTACCAATTTATCTGTTTCCCTTGTTGTTGGGTGGTAATGGTCACAAGGGATTTTGGTCTTGTCATGTGGTGGTCATCACTACATGATCTCCAAATATCTACATGTACTGGTAAGAGACAATGTTGTGTTTGACCATCAAGTGACGTTATCAGTCATGCCAGAAAAAAATATTATATCAATTGTAGATACATGGACATTTTTGAAAGTGGCTGTAGTTATTTATTTATCATTTTGTAGGCAGAGGTATAAAATTAACATAAATTGAGTAGTTTTCATTAAAAATATAGTTATAGTTTTATTATTTGGCTGCAAATAATTAGCTTGCTATAGCTGGACAGGAAAACAGAAAGCAGAAGACAAATCCTTTGTGAATTTCTTGCCCAAAAAAGTTTGGCAGACCAGTCTGTCTGAACCCAATCCTTGAATCATGGTTTACAGATTTTTGTAGTTTCCAAACACCCACATGTTTGCAACATTATGTAACAGATAATATATTTCTTTTTATGCTGTGCTAAAATTTAAGGTTTTATAATTTAAATGAAACAATTTGAATATTGTGTAGTCAATGCGTCTAACATATAATTTTATTATAACTTCCGGCATGACCAGGTGCTCAGTAAACTATTTTAAATTTACTAAAACTACTAAAAAAAAGTTTGGTTCTTTTTCTTACTTTTCTGTTGATTAATTAATCCTTGAAACATGCATAATTGAGCACTATGTCTGGATCATATGATTTTAGGAGGACCAATTTGAAAAAGTGCTCAGTTTCAATCAGGAGAAAACAACTATTTAATAATAATTTTTGTTGGACGTCCCTTCTTTGAAAGCATTTGTTGTTACATAAAGTACATTGGAAACAGCATCAAACTTGATAGAAACCAACATACAAACTGAGTAGTACCCACAAAATCTGTGAAACACTGTGCAAAGGAAGGTTGTTTTCCCAATGTTTTTCTGTTTGACCTTGTTCCTCAAAACTGCCATTTGTCAATCAGTAGATTGCTGGACAGGTGGAACTAATCAGATTGTTAAGTTTTTAACGGTTACACTAAAATCCATTGGGGAAAAGTTGTTGAAACATGATCCTGATAAATTGCACACAGGATGTTTGGATTTGTAATTCCTTGTTTGGAACTAACAGTTCTAAGATGCTTTCTCAAGGCATTGATGGGAGACTGTTAAATGCCTTTTTGTTGTGTTGTATATGTATCATGGAATTCTTGAGTCAGTCAGTGGGTTGAAACTGTTGAAAACTGGTAGTAGTCTAATAAAATATTGTATTTCAGTAACTGTAGATCAGTTAATTTGCCAGTGTCTTAATGTACCTGTATTGTTTTAGTCTGCTAAAAGAGTACTACTAAGAGTAGCTTGTTAGCCAGATTTCAAATCATTTGGGGTTCCTCAGGTGTGAATAGCATCAGTGCGAGTGGGAAGCCATATTAAGAGGACAGGGGTGCTCCTCGTACCTTTTAGGAGTAAAACAAGTGGATTTGGTACCTCTTAGGGTACGTGTTTAGGCTCAAAAGGTCCACAGTGGGAACTTTGTTGGTACCTTTTAGGGTATTGAGCAGAAAGAATATGACAGGAGATAGTGTGTTGTTTTAGAATTAGTACCTCATACAGGCTCACAGGGGTGACAAACATTTCAAGCCACGCCCACAA